GTTCTTTTGTAATAAATGAATAACTTGTGAATAATAAATTGCATCGTAAAAAGGAACTAAACTTAGTCGTCAGTGCGTGGTGCCTAAGTGAAGTTACTGGACATGCAAAATATATGTACATAATTGCTTATTTTCATAAGGAAACTTTGATTTACTACTAATTAAGTTTGCGTACTCTTGTAATGTTCTTTGTAATATACATGAATACACATTGTGATCATTCCTAAAAACCATTTGAAGGAAATTGAAATGTCAATATGGTCTAGTTTCCTTTATGCTCCACAGATTGTTCATTGGAAATACAAAGATTAAAATAATGAGGTTAGTAACTTAGTATATATATAGAGTTATTAGTTTTAATTAATCTGCATATATGTAAAAGAAAGATGTGTAATTATGTCTTTTTGTTCAGTTAGCAAAAGATTTGAAGGCATGATCAAAGTTTATTCCTTTATATGCACAAAAGTCTTTAATATTTTACCATTTTTTACTTGGCTTTTTGATTAAGACCACAATAATTTTCTTGATAAGGAAACTTTTATTTCCTACGCTTACTACTAATTAAGTTTGCGTACATTTCTTCGTTTTTTCATCTATTAGATCAACACCGACTCAAATTTTCAAAATCTTTAGTTATGCAAATGTAATGTGTGCATAGATATCTAGTCAGTAGTGCCATCAGTGAAGTTTAATACAGAACTCTTGCCCTAATCAAGCCTTTTTCAAAAAAAATAAAAATAATAATAAATCTTGCCCTAATCAAACTATACTTACTAATGGTTTATTAGCACATCAAATTAAATTACTTAGCATACATAAAATACTTCAAGAAGGTTGAAATAAATGGAAGGATAATTTCTTTGATTATATAGAGAATATATAACCATCGGAATAGAATTACCAGTCTCTTTTATATCTAATTAGAGAAAGTACGTACCTATTAGAAAAACAAAAGTCAAAAACCATTTGAAGAAATCTGTTTAATTATGAGTTTTCTTCATAATTAGTATATATATATTACTGTAAAAACATAGTATTATTCGAAAGAGAATAGAAGAGGGAAACACATTATAAATTATTGAAGAGTAATACTTCACTAATAGATTATATATGAGAATCCTACAAATTTTGAGAACAAAGATATATGACATGACAAACCATATATTCATTGTCCCAGTAAGACTTTAATCAAATTATTTTATAGAAGGTTTTTAAGGTTAAATATAAACGACAATAATATGAAAATTACTAATAATTAATTCTTCTCTGATACTTTTTCATCATCTGAATCCTTTATGTAGAAGAGTAAGCATCATCTACCTCCGCAATAGCTTTGTCTATTTTCGTGATCAAATCCTAAAATTTCAATAATCAAATTAACATTTTTATTATCCACTCCAAAAGAAATAAGAATTAGCATATATATAAGTTAGTTGCATTTAGGGGTGTCAAGTTGGTTAAACCAAACCAAACCAACCCATATTCATATAGATTCAATACTAAATGGTTAATGAGTAAAACCAACTCATTTAGCATATGGTTTGGATCAACTCACAACCCATTTAGATTAATGGTTTAATAGGTTTAATGAGTTGACCCATTTACAACTAAACAAGAGAATTAATTCACTATTACAAATTGTGAAAAACGTCTAACCTATCATCCCTCTAATGTAACCAACATAATGACCACCTCTCATCGTTCCTAGATGCTCCACTATCCCAGCCAACCTGTAAACCAGCTGGTCTTCTTCGGTCCACCTACAGGGGAGAGAGAGAAGAGATCCACAACAGCTGCTCAATATAGAGCTTAACCAATGAAAAGAAACAAAACTAATCAATGAAATGAAAGAAAGCAAGCTGCTCAATCACCTACTCACAAGCTCTGAAAAAAGATGAGAGTTAAAACCTGTGAATAATGGTGCTTTTAAGTAACCATAGAATGTTCTTCCACAGAATCTAAATCTGATCGAATAATAATCACTTCACCATTGTTATCTAAAATTCATAAGAGAAAAATATGAGAACATACGCTTAAGGCTAGAGACATGGATTAGCCCATATGGCCATACACATATAGAGCTGAAATCGATTACCAATTTGTTATCATGTTCCCCTAAACTAAGTAAAATCAAAGATGCTTGGAGTATCTAACACTAATACTAACTTTTCCTGAAATTGAAATTGAATTGGTAGGAAAAAACCTGATGAGATTTTTGGAAGTGATACGAGGAGCCTTCGTAAGTGATACGATGAGCTTCAATGGCGGCACCGATCGATTTGGGGAGAAGACAAAGAAGAAGAAATGGATCGTTGGTGCGTTGATGCGTTCGCAGAACCAAGAACAGAGACGCCGATGGAGATGTGATGAATTGTGTTGGTTTGGTTTTTGTTAACTTATCAACTCAATTGAACCAAACTCAATTTAACCCAATCCACTAAACCCATTAACCATTATAACCCATTAATTTATTAAAACCCAAATGTTCAACTCAATAAGTTATTAGACTGGTTTGGTTTGAGTTGATCCATATATTCGGATCCATTTTGACACTCCTACCCATGGGTATTGATCTAGTTACGTTTAAAATGGAAATCTTGTTATATGTACTTTGTACACACAAAAAATCGAAAAAACAAAACAAAACTGTTAGTTAATTATTATAAGAACAAAACATATTTACCTTCTCCTCTTTTTTCAGTTTTCGTTATTGCTTCTTTGATACAACCCATTTCAGCCTCAGGCTCAATAACCATTTTTTGTTTGGTAGTATTTGAACAAGAGTGATGAAATATTTAGACCTAATTATATTTTTCTTTGCTCTTCGCTCCTTTGTTCCTTTTTAATAAGTTGTATTCGTCAGTGTATATAGAGAGCATAGGTGTAATGCATTAATTTTTTGTAGTCCATGCAAATGTTGTGTCTTCCATGCACAAAAGTCTTTGTTATATTACCATTTGTATAACTTTTGATTTGGTTGTAACAATCATCAATATGGAGGTTGTAACAATTATTTCCCAAATACACATTGTGATTATTCATAAACACTTGCCAAGTTCATTGTAATATATGAATAACTTTGTAACAACAGTCTTTCATATTTTACCATTTCTATTTTGCTTTTTGATTAAGACCACAATAACTTTCTCGATTAGGAAACTCTTATTAACCACTAAATTTGTATATGTATTTATTCTTTCTCAACACCGACTCAAAATTTCAAAAGCTTTAATTCTGAAAATGTTAATGTGCGTAGAAATTATACACATATACGTACGTTTCTAAACTCTCTATAAATACAAAAAAATCAGAATTCACATTTGAAAACTCGACATGCTTTAGTAGAATTGCAAATTAGTAGAAAATACTTCATTATTGATTGTATATTAGAATCATACAAATTACCAAAACAAAAGATAAATAACATGAACACCCATATATTAATTTTTTATAACATATTTGAAAGTTTAAGTAAACAACAAATATTGTGAAATTACTAATTATGCTTCTTTACTTTGTCATCCCATCTAGCTTGATTATTCCTTTATTTAGAAGAGGATGCATCTTTGTCGTCCTCAATACCTTTGCCTAATTTCTTGATCAAATTCTAACAATCCAATAAGCATTTTTAATTATTCACTCCAAAAGCAAAGCTTGTTATATTTAACTAAGAGCATCTAGATAAATAGTTTACCGTCAAATTTTTAATATTTTCTATGTTTGCTTCGATTATACAATGCATCTCATCGTATAACTTCCTGAGATTCTCAGCCTCATCTTCTGGAGGTCCAAACCTTGCTCTAAGCATGTCGTTCATAGCTTTGTTTTCAGACCAATCCTAATTATTTTATAGAAAAAAATCATCAAAAAGGTGAATTATATATAGAACAATGGATATATATACAAAAGCTGTTATGAAACACTTTTACCATCTCCTTTTTAGTATTTTTCGCCATTGCTTCTGTGATACGATCCATTTCAGCCACAATCTCAAGAATCTCAGCATTTGTAAGAACCATTTTTTTTTTATTTGTTTGGTACAATTGAACAAGAATTATGAAATACTTAGGTCTAGTTTTTTTATTTTTTTTGCTCTTCTTCTCTTTATGTTCTTCATAATGTTTTGATCCTCTGGTTTATATAGAGAATTATTAGATGAAGTGTGTGTCAAGTGGGTGCTGATGTATTCCGTGTTCATGTTGTTTCTTCCACACACAAAAGTCTTTGATAATATTACCATTTTTATTTTTGCTTTTTTATTGAGAGTTTGAGACCACAATTTTCTAAGTTTACTTCTAATTTTGTATGTATTTCTTTGTTTTTCATCCATTAGATCAACCCACCGACTCAAATTCTCATAAACTTTAATTTTGCAGTGTAATGTGCGTAGACATATACACATATACACGTTTCTAAACTTTCTATAAATACATTTGAATAAACTTTACAAACCATAATCTTTAATATAGTGATTATGAAGAACAACGTCGACAGCTTTCATTTAGCTGTTTTTTCTTATACCATACTGTATTAACCTTTTATCTGTATTTTCTTTTTTAATTAGTAGGACATTAGTTTTTCTTGAAACGATAAATAGGTTAATATTTATTTGATTATTATACGAATAACATTGTAATTAGTTTTGTTAATAAGACATATCAAAATTTGCAACGTACGTGCCAAAACTAAGAATGTATATATATACATTTAGAGTTATATTACTAAAAAACATATTAGTTTTTATTAACATAACAGAGTATTAATTACTTTTTATGTAAATGAAAGATGTGTAATTATATGAAAATCTGAAAAATAGAGTTTCATCAACATGAAAGAGAGAAATTTAAAGAGAATAGAAGAGAGAAACACATTATAAATTATTCAAGAATACTTCATTATTGATTATATATGAGAATTTTACAAATTTCGAAAACAAAGATAAATGACATGACAAACATATATAAATTATTCCAGTATGACCTAAATTAATTATTTCATAGACCTTTTTAAGGTTTAAAATAAAAGAAAAATATTGAGAAACTATTTTTTCTTCACTTTGTCATGATCCCCGATAGAGCTTGCTTAATTATTCTTTTATTTAGAAGAGGATGATGCATCTTCCCCCATAATAATGTTGCGTATTTTCTTCAACAATATATTAATTTAGCATTTATTAATGATTCACTCCAAAGGAAATAATAACACATTGTATGCAATATTATTTGAATTTTTATAAAATACAGTTAAGAGAATTTATATGAATATATATATTACCCTCAAATCTTCTGCATTTACTCTTTTTGCTTCGATGATACGACGCATCTCCTCGTTTAACTTCTCGACAATCTCAGCCTTGAGAATCTCAGTCTCACGAATCTCTTTCTCACTTTCTGGAGGACCAAGGTTTGCTATAATTTTATAGAACATGTCGTTGATACCTTTTTTCTCATACCAATCCTAATTAATTTATACCACAAATCAATGATATATATACACCTTTCTGACAAAACAATGGAAATATATATATGAACACTTTTACCTTCTCCTGTTCTTTATTTTTAGCCAGTACTTCTTTGATACGACCTAGTTCAGCCATAATCTCAGCTTTTGTAAGAACCATCTTCTTGATATCTTTGTTTGAACAAGCTAGAGTGAAAGACTTTGGCTTAATTTGTTTTCTTTGCTCTTCTTCTCTTTATGTTCTTCTTAATGTTGTGATCGAGATCCCACGCATGGTTTATATAGAGAATTATTAGATGTTATGTGTGTCAAGTGGGTGTTGATGTTATTCCGTGTTGATGTTGTTTCTTCCACACACAAAAGTCTTTGATAATATTACCATTTTACTTGGCTTTTTGATTAAGACCACAACTTTTTTAACTAGGAAACTCTTATTTACTAAGTTTACTTCTAAGTTGTATGTATTTCTTCTTTTTTACATCCATTACATCAACCCACCGACTCAAATTCTCAAAAGCTTTAATTCTGCAAATGCATTGTGCGTAGACATATACACTTACACGTTTCTAAACTTTCTATAATTACATAATACTCAGAATTCAACTTACATGCTTTACAAATCATATATATAACCATTTTGAAATTTCATATGTTAATATTTCTAGCCAGTTTTAATTATTTCTCTTTTGATTGTGAAGAACAACGTCGACAGCTTTCATTTAGCTTTACACCATATAGTAGGAGATTATAGTTTTTGCTGAATAAATAAATATGTTATTTATTTGATATATTATAATAATCTTGTGTGATTCTTTTCAATTTGTCACAATTCCATTCATGTACAATTATACGTGTACAACGTTTACAAAAACACATATGTATATAATTAAGTGTGTAACTTTGATTTGGTATCCGAATCAAAAAGAACCAATATGGAGGTTGTAACAATTATTTCGATTGTGACTTTTTCCCAAATAGTACACATTGTGATTATTCATAAACTCTTGTATATATGGTCTAGTTTACTTTGTAATGTTCTTTGTAATGTGTACTATTGTAATGTTCTTTGTAATATACATGAATACACATTGTGATCATTCATAAAAACCATTTGAAGAAAATTGAAAATGTATATATGGTCTAGTTTACTTTATGCTCCACAGCTTGTAAATTGGAAATTCAAAGATAAAATAATTTGAAATTCAAAGATAAAATAATTGGAAATTCAAAGATAAAATTCTATATAGATCGTTACTAGTTTTTGTTTAATACATGCAGTAAAGTGTTAATTAGTCTTCGTATATGTAAAAGAAAGATGTGTAATTATGTCTTTTTTCAGTTTAACAAAATATTTGAAGGCACGAGCAAGCTTAATTATTCAATTATATATTTGTTTCTTCTATGCACAAAAGTCTGTGATATTTTAACATTTTTTACTTGGCTTTTTGATTAAGACCACAGTAAACTCTTATTTACTACGTTCACCGACTCAAATTTTCAAAAGCTTTCGTTCTGCAAATGTAATGTGTGCGTAGACATGCATATACACATACACGTTGATTTTATCCCAAATATACATTGTTATCATCATTAAACACTTGCCTCGTTTACTTGTAATGCATGAATAAATTAGGTGTAGCATTTACACGTCTTTAAAATTTATATATCTCAATAAAATTTCACAATTTACGTACACAGTTGAAGACAGCTCATATTGCTTCTGGTTTTATAATTTCATATAAACCTTTAGTGAAGTTTAATACAGAATTGAATTTTCTCTTGCCCTAATCAAACTATACTTAATAATTGTTCCTTAGTTTTGTATGATTCTAGCTCATAAAACTAATTAACTTAGGATGCATAAAATATTTGAAGAAGTTTGGAATAAATGGAAGGATAATGTCTTTGATTATATAGAGAAAATATAATCATCGGAACTGAATTACCACTCTCTTTTAGAGAAAGTCAAAAACCATTTGAAGAAATCTGTTTAATTATGAGTTTTCTTCATGGAAAAACATAATATTAGTCGAAAGAGAATTTTTTTTTTTTTGGGTGAGATATTAGTCGAAAGAGAATAGAAGAGGGAAACATTATCAATTATTTAAGATTAATAATTCATTTATTGAAAACAAAGATATATGACATGACAAACCATATATTCATTGTCCCAGTAAGACTTAAATCAAATTATTTCATTGAAGGTTTTTAAGGTTGAAAATAAACGACAATAATATAAAAATTACTAATAATTAATTACTTTCTGTATTTTCTACGATCCGAATCCGATCAAGCT